GATGACTATATGAGTTTTACTAAATAATTAGACATGAAAAAAAATTTGTATTTGCCTTTAAATAAAAAATTAAAAATAAAATACAACAATAAAATACAATTAAATTATAGGCGAAAAATCTATTTTCCAATCACTAAATAAAAAATTGATTTTAAAATAATTATTTGCAACTAAAAGATATTAGACATTAAATTAATCTAGTTTTTATTAATAAAGAAAATAAAAGTTTGTGGGGAACAATTAACTTTTTATGTATACACATTTGTATAAATTATTTGTATTTTTTATATAAATAATTAAAGTATTGTGAATTATTCAGTTTTCAAGGCACAAAGCATTTCACATTCCTAATCAATCACAAGAGCTGCTGCTGCTGCGGCTGGAACACCTCAGGGATATTATGTGCTTAGCACAAATATCGAGATTTGTGCCCCTTATTATTTATGATGATTGTACATTATGATGAGCCACATTAGCAGCGCATTACACCAGATACCAGAAACTTTGGCAAGCGCTGCGCGCCGAACTGGGCAGCTGGGGCAGCAGGGGCAGCAGTTTTTCGCTTCGGGCAACAGAATTGCATGCTAGAAAGTCATATTTTCATTGGCAAAAGGACAGAGGGACAGACCATAGACGAGTGTGAGAGATAGAGAGAGTGAGAGAGGGGGAGGGTGTGGGGCTGGCGTATGCTTTGGCAAAGGATATACATGCACATACACATATATTTTTCATGACTCGAGCCAAAGTATCTGTATCTAACAAGTGTCGACGGCAGGACAGAGCCCTTAAGCCCGGCTGAAGTCGTTATGATTTGTCATAAACATAAAATAAATGGCCAAATATTTATAGTATGCTGTGTCATGAGAAGCTCTAGCAGACACCCACACACAGGCACACACACAGACGCACCCACTCACACACATTTAGCCAATAAAAATATTGGCCCAAGGGTAGGAAACAACTTGAAGTGTCCTTCGATGCGTTAAGTATCTCGCAGATGTCAAGGATTCTTATCCTTGCCCTAACCACTCTCTACTCACCCAGATGCTGCTGCTGCTGGTGTTGCTGATGCTGCTGCTGCTGCTGCTGGTGATGATCTCTGCCACGGCTTGTGCCCGGCGAGTGATGATCCTGTGAGTTCCACAAGCTCGACGTGGCGCCCATGTACACATTGTTCAGTGTCGATGGCGCCTGATCCAAGGATTTGCCCTTGTTGCGTTGCGACTTGCTGTTGCTGTTCTGTGGACTGTTGTTGTAGTTGTAGGGATTATTGCTGTTCGAATTGCTGTTGCTGCTGTAGCGTTGCTCTGTGAATTGAATGGCGTTAGTGAGTGCAGAGCTCATAGATTGTAGTAAGACGATAAATATCGAATAAGTGGCCTTATGAAAGTTGTAAAATAATTTAATATTTACTTAAGCACCAAATTAGGGCACCCAAAAATTTAATACATAAATAAAAATTAATAATAATAATAAAATAAACACAAATTAAATACGAATTACAAAATTCCCTCTTTCATCGAAATATTTTTCATAATTTTATATGTATGGATGAAAAAAAATATACACAATATATACATATGTCTTTATATTTTTTTTAATGTTTATATTTATGCTATATTCTATTTATTATATTGTATTATACTTTATTAAATTATTACTTTTAATTTGTATTGCTTCAACGATTTTCATTAAATCAATTTTCTTTTCATTTCAGATACTATTTAATATTAATTTATATGCTAGATGCTAAACTTGGAGAGGTAAAAATAAAAAATAAGAAGGATTATATTATCATGGTATATTACATTTACCAAGATTGATATATATTTGATATTATAATTATTTATAAAAATTTAATATATATAAGAATTTAAATGAATTTAGCTGACACTCGGCAAGACACTTTCGATATTTATCGATTAGCGTAATCGATTTCATAATGCATACCCTTGTTGTACTTGACGTTATAGACAGGCACGGTGTTAATTGATACAGTGGGCGCCATTGTAGTAATTGTTGTTGTTTGCGGAATATCTGAAGAAATAGATCGAAGAGATATTAATGGAACTGACATGGAATTCAGGGTGGGGCATCTCTATGGAATGTCTGAGAATATTTGAGCATCGTCTGCTCAATTCACTTGCCAACAAATAACCGGTTCACCCTGCTCAGTTGGCAAATTATACGGCATAAATGATTCATCTGTAGCACGTCCATTATCGTCATCGCATCAAACATATTTATTTATGCAGCCATGGAGCTAACTTCATCGAGAGCACCGGCTCATAAATCAATCACTGCCAATACTGGGCCACGCCCCAGTTCAGCCACTTGACCTGGGTCAAAGGTAACTAAACTTTATTCTGCCATATATTATGAACATTATTATTATGTTTGCTTTTTCTCGTATTGACCCGAAATTAATTAAATGCCAGTCTAAGTCTCTAGTTTGAGGCGAATCGCCCTTGGCTGCTGTGTGACTTATGTGAGACACTGTTGAAGCCGTTACATTAACATTTACGTTTATAGTTATGACAATGGATGTAAATGTTATTGCTGTTAGAGTTTCTGTAGTTGTTGTTGTTGTTGTGGGAAATACTTACGATACAATTTGATCGCACCATCTGTGTCGCCCAGCGAATTCTTGGCCACACAGCGATAGGCACCAAAGTCGGAAATGTCAACGTCGTAGATGGTCAGACGCATTGTTATTTTATAGCCCGACTCGAAGGTTTCTGGCACAAAGCGTTCACCTGCCATAGAGAGAGAAAGAGAGAGGGAGAGAGATAGAGAGATGGAGATACAGAATGAGTGATAAATACGTTTAGTAATTGCTTCATGTACATCGTGATGAGTGGGTGTATGGATGTGTGTGTGTTTGTTTGTTTGTTTGTTTGTGTGTGTGTGTATGTGTGTGGGCGGCGTAGCAAGCTCGTATATAACCGCAATGAAATTTAACCCATTTGGCCCGAACTGCAGTCAGTCAGTCAGTCGGCAGAGCCTGTTAAAGTGACATACTAGCGTACGTACATATGTATGTGTGTGTGTGTTTGTCCTTTGTCCTGGACTTGTCCTGGCTAAAGTAATTTGGCTTAAAAGAAGCCAAAATAGAATTGAGGAAAACCCCAATTTTAGCTCAACTTGTTGTCATCTTGGATAACCAGCTCTTTGCGGGGGGTTCGCCACCCTCCAAATCGTTCATTTTAATTTATACAAAAACCAAGCTGGCATTCGAAACGTTTCCTACTCCTCCTCCTCCTCCCCTCCAACCCCATGCAGCTAGCTGCTTTGCTTGGTTTTGATTTACGTTTGATGTCGGTTAGATTTCGTTTAGTCGGAACTAAGCCTGCCCCTTCCACCTGGTCTCGCATGTGGGGCCACCGACTAACTAACTGTGAAGTCGACCACAGGCAATTGTTATGCATGGCAGCTAAGCAACTGATTAGTTTACTAAAATGCTTCCAAATGGCTTGAAACTGAGACTCAAGATTTGAGTTCGGTTTGTTGTTGTTGTTGTTGTTGATTAAAACCAAATTGGTTTCGGTCTCTAGCCTGAAAAGCATTTAAATGCTAAAGATTGACGAAATGTGATTTGAGCAAAGATTAAAAGAGCATATTTTTAGTTTAGTGTAAAAAGCAGATGAGGGCAAAGGCGGTTGACTTCTTGCTTGGCATGCAAATCTGAATAAACAGAATTTAATATTAT